TTCAAGCTCGCCATGGATATGTTCACAGGATTGAAGCTCAAAGGCAACAGAGAGTTGGACACTGAAAACAGGTAGAGTCAGCTTGAGCCAAACGTAGCACGGTCAAAGTGTCCAACTGACACAAACAAGTGCGGTCAGGTTCATCAACAGTATCAACACTGCACCCCCTCAAGTCTCCGAATGTCTCCCAAGTGACGGCAAATTAGATCCCCACCAGGGAGCTCCCACCGAGTCGGCCTTTGTCGTTTCAAAGGTTGGAGCTTTCTCCTCATCGAAGTCATCCCCAATGGACGGCATGGAGCCCGACTTCAGGAGCATCAATGGAGATTGGAACATGCTGTCCATGAAATCGCACCACATCCTTGGCGATTTAGGCGATTTAAACATGCTGAGCTCTTCAAGTCCTTCAAGTCCTTCAAGTCTTAGATACTCTAGAAGTCTCTAGAGTCTAAGGTCTCTAGACATGCTAGATACTCGAGAGTCTTCACATTGACTTGGTAAAATGGATGAAATGCACATCTGTTTCATCCAAGCATCTGCATGAAACGAGACTTGTGTCGATCACAAGCATCATCGAAGGCTTGAAAGATACATCTCTTCATGGTATCATTCCGCTCTATCACTTGGGCCTCACAGCATGCAAGGCAAGCCGCAGAAAGCTTCGCAATGTCTGCAACTTGTACTTGAAACGGTTTTGGAGTTTCAACCCCTTCCCCTTGTCTTAGTTGTGTTTGTCCTGACGATCGCTCAAGCTCTTCACGGAGCTGCCTCTTTCGGGATCCGTCGCGAGTACATGTGTTCTTCTGGAGAACCTTGAAGACCAAGCATGAACTCCACGGTGGCCTGAATAAAAGAATGAAAAGCATGACACCGGCACAATTCAGAACTCCTGTAACTCCTGTGTATCGGTCCAGTCAGTGGGTGAAGTCGGATGGTTTACCACCAAAATCGGACAAACATTGTGAAAATCTGTGGTGTGGAGGGTCATAAATCCCGAAAATGCTCACAAATGGGGATCCTGCAGAGTCCCAACTTTGGGCTAGAGAAGCCCTGCCTCCTTCTGCTCGGCAAAGAAAAACTTCAACCGCTCCCCGACGTATTTGGTCTTTGTACGCATTCGTGTAGGGGCAGTCCTCGTGTGAGGAATGTCAACTTGTGAACACGGTCTGTACAAAAAAAGACGCCGAGTTCTTTTTGACATGCAACTGCTGTGATTTCTAGTTGGAACAATGCCAGAAAAGGTGGCGGTACTCGGTTGACCTTTCTGCTGGCAAAAGGTCGACCCCAAGGTGCTTATTTCAATTCCAAGTGTCTGCATCATTAGCTGAGTGATAACATCCTCGCAGCGTAAAGATGAAACAACAGACTCTACGCAGCTGACGCAAAAGCGCTATAAGCTGCACGTGGCAAAGCAGCTAGACGCTCAAGATTTCAGAATATGGCGTCCTGCCAGGTGCATTCCCGCAGGCCAGATCCTCTAGCCTCAATTTGGATCGATTTTGTGTGCGCCAACTCTTCGCTCCGTTGGATTGAAAGTGACTCAGTTCCGGACTTGGATCACGTCAACTGGCTCTAGCTTCTTGCCAAGGCCAGCAAAGCGGGTAAAGACCTCGACTTCGTACATTAACCTGCCAAGCTTCAGGTAAAACTTCAGCAAAACTCGTGTTGATCAAAACATGGGTGCCAACGGTGCCTTCTAAATTGTGCTCCACCATTCAGTTGCACGTCCATGGCTGGCAGCTTTACAGTGTCTCGAAGGTAAGCGATGTAGGAATCAAGATCCTGGGAGGAAAGGGGCTGATAGTATCCTTTAGATACTTGCGATATCTTGCGATATAGTATATGTTTGTGATGTACGTTTACATATTTGCAATTGGTATGACATCCTCCCAGCACTCAAGGCACTCAAGCACACTCAAGACATTCAAGCCCTTGCCCTTGTCCTCAAATGATGTTGGCATCAATTCGTCCTCTTTCAAGCTCTCAGTCTTCGCACAGTACCTGGTGCTATTCCTGGTCATCTTGAAGGCCATCCAGAAAATGAGGCAAAAGTCAGAATCCCTCACAGCATGGGGCACTTGTGAAATGCCCTGAGCTCTTCTTCAAGAGTATTTCTGTTGTGTTCGGATGAAAGAGCACCCTGTGCATTGCAGCCGCCAAATTCACTTTGAAGTCAGAACAAGTCACTGAAGAACCGCTTGCATCTTTTCCAAATGTAGAGCTTATCTTTCTCTGAAGAACAGTTTGCGCCTCCATCAAAAAAACAAAGCTTTGGGCGAAGGTAATCCCAGCGGAGCGAGTGGCATGCAAGATGTTGTCCTGGACGAAAGGATCTGACAGTCAGTTAAGTCAGTTAAGTCAGTTAATAGTCAGTTAATCGACGGGCAATCCCGACTGAGTCTTAAAGTTTGAACGTCCGACTGAGTCCGACTGAGTCCCTGAACTTCATTGATGGTCTCCATCTCTTGTCTGATGACTTGGAGCTTCTTTTCGTGCTCCTTGCCGTTGAGACTTGGCTCTTTTCTGGCCAAGAAAAGCACACAGCACAAGAAATGTGTCTGGTTCTGTGTCTAGAAACTGTATCTCTTTGAATCTCGAAATGGGATTGTTGTGCCTACAACAGATCAGAATGCGTGGATTGTGGGTCCACAAATACTTGACCCTTGCTCAAGTGGCCCACGAACAAGAAGGGAATCGCTGACTTTACCATTCTGTGCTCCTCTTGCATGTTCTTGAGACGAGTCAGCATGGGGGCCAGCGCATCAGCGAAGAGCTGCTGGATTTTGATCTGTCAGAAATGTCACAAAAAGCGCAACCTTCGAAAATCCTCAAAGTTTTCCTTGTCTCATGCGCATTCTAGAAGTGGAACATCAGACTGAAAGGAAAGTGCAGAGAAGCTGGTAGAGACAGAATGCTAGAACAAAAAGCTGTCAGACAGTATTTTCCCCGCCTCCATGAAGTTGCGGAAATTCTGAAATCCGATTGTCATCTTGTACCTTCCCAAAACCCAATGAATCTCATCGTCAAAGAATGAATCGAGCCGAGGAATTGAGCCTCGAAGAAGCTTTCTTACTGGCCAGGGTCTCAATATCTCGTTCTGAACACTCCTCGGCAGGGCATCTTCTGATCATTCTCTGCCGCTGAACAGCTCTGAACAGCTCTGAACAGCTCTGAACAGCTGAACAGGTCTGGTCGCTCCTTCCGCATTTCTCCAAAGGGTTTCGGCATGGCGTCACCGGTCCAGTGAGGCCTTGGCCATGGAAATTGCTGCCTCGCTGGGACCCTGGGATTCGGTCTGGGGCCCCATGCAGCGACACGGCAAATCGCGCCAAGTGTTGTGGTAGATCGCCATAACCCTCTAGCCTCAAGTCAAGTATATTATTAAATTATATAATATATATATATAATTATATATATACAGATACATATAATGTACAGAACCAAATATGACAAAATGACACAAAATGCAAGCACTCACTACCCCTGGCTCAGATACTTCACTTAGGCTGTCGCCATTTGTTCACATTTTCTGGGGTCAAATCATTGTAGTACCTGCAAACAAAAAAACTGCGGAAAAGAATTGGGTGCGTCAGAAACTGTATAGCAAGGTTTACTACTGTGAAACAATGGATTGTTTTGAGCAACTTCCGGATCAGTTGATGTGCAACAGAACCAACTCCCACAGACATGGGGCACTTGTCCAGCTTGTTTCGAACCAAAATTGTTCGCTTGTAAGTTGGATCCACTTGCTTCGCTTTGCCAAGTGTAGCAAGGTCTGGCAGCGAGGTATTTTGCACCCGACATTCACTAAGGGCAAGCATGCACCAGCTTACAAGATGGCAAAATGGGCAACGAGTCAGCGTGAAACTTCAAACTTCATGACTGCTCTCCTTGAGCAGAAAATTAAGGCGGATTGTATAGGTCTAATGAAGGTATAACATGAAGATCTCATGAAGCTGTTTGCAGATAAAGGGCTTGCAGCATCACCAGCTTCCTCGACACAAAGCATGATATTGTTCTCATCGTTCCTCGATCTTGCACACATGGAAGACACCAGCGGCAGGTGCACTTCCGGCATCTGCCCACAATTCGTTGACTGCGTTGATGACATCATTGTAATCAGGTACTAGTTACTAGTATATGGCTAGCAGTCATTGAGTCATTTGAGTCATTATACATTTCTGAGACACCAGCATGAACTTGAAGACGAGAGTATCAATCTTTTTGGCCAGCGCTTGCATGGCGTCGTCCTTGGCATATGTCCTTTCGCACCACAAACTGTCAGCCACGGCGGCAGCCCGACTCCGACCGACTCCGACCGACTCCGACCGACTCCGACGCCGTCCTGAAACCAGGGAGGTCCACCAGTCCAAGATCTGTGCAATCCTCACCTGGCGCACTTGCGACTTGCCCAGAGCACAGAATACTCAGAGCAAACAAAACAAAGAGCCATAAAGGTAGCACAAATAGCACAAAACACCGGAGATATCTGGAGATATCTGGAGATATCTGGAGATATCTGGATATGGCAAAGTGGCAACTCCAGGTGTTGCCTTCCACTTTGACTCGAATCGGCAACTCGCTGACGTTCTGTCCGCACGCCTGGACAGGATGGCCAGGATTGCCCTTGCGGCATAGCCGACGCGTAGTGTGAGTAGCTGCTACACAAGTAGAAAAGCTGCCCAAGCAATCTGTCATATTCTGTCGATCTTGATGTCTTGATGCTATGTAAATGATGTGACTTGGTGAAAACTTCTTCAAAGCGCCTCATGGGCACTGCCAACGATTTGCATGACCTCCTGTACTGGGTAGGAAGACCATCTCTTCAGGTTCTCGTCAAAAACAGACCACCTGATCGGACGCAAAAGTTGCACCGGTTACACCACCGGGTACACCACCGGTTACACCACCGGTTACACCACCGGTTACACCACCGGTTACACCACCGGTTACACCACCGGTACACCATGGCATCGGACAAATCCTCGAGTTACTCAGAGTTACTCAAGCCTTGATGGAGATAGCCCTGGCACATTGCGAAACTCCAGCACGGTAGGACGCCTACGAAAGCGGTCACATCAGTCACATCATGTCACATCGATTCACACTTGCACCAAAGTTGGAACCACTCTGCGTGAAATCGCACCTTGATCCCAAAGTGCCAGAGACAAAGTTGAAGGTTTCTCCTGCTAATGCCTGTAAACCACAATTCCATCCATTCAAAGAATTCTGCGCACAAAGATCCAATCTGCGGGACTTTCTGTACGCTGTTTATTACATCACTAAAATTGGTGGTCTGCCCGAGCCTCGATGAGTCTGGATTTTCCAACACTCTGCTTGCCAATCACAATGAACTGTGGGACGGGGAAGCTCAGGCTGTCAACCTGCAAGCAACACAGAGATTCAGCACACACTCTGTTGCGTGATGGGATGTTGCCGCTGCGAATACCTTTCAGCGAGTCACCCTGAGCTGCTGGCCTTTCCATCCAGTCTTGCTTTGACTTCACATATCAAATTCAACAAATGCTTTCTCCTGCAATTTCGCAGCTTGGCATCTTACAGCAAAGTTCATCTGGTTTCTTTCTGGGCCTTCAATAAATCTCACCTTTCTTGGCCCCAAAATACCAGTCCTTGACTCTGCTGCATCTTCGCCCTCAGATGTGCAACACCCAAAGCTGTTTTGCTCTCTTGAGATCCTGCTGGCGACTGCTATTTCTTAGGGATTCCACTGACCCCAGAAGGCAAAGATTTTGGAGCGAGGCAACGCGTTCGAAGGGTCAAACTACAAGTGAATTCAAAATTTGGGGATGGGTCAAACCCTTGTACCCCTGTAGTTCACATCAAAATAGCTGGTAAATGGATGTTCATCCCACTAAAAATGGTATTAATAGGTATTGATCCATACCCATTTCCCATCAAGTGTAGTGACGCCGCAACTGCCCCTATTCAACTTCTTGCCGATTGATTGATCATTGATTGTGCAATCGAGCGGCAGCCATGATAGCACAGCGCTGCACGCTTAGCACCGCTTAAAGCTGAGCCAGCAATTCAGCGACATCAATGTGTTGAATTAAAGATTGGGAAAAGATTTGAAAACTGCCTCTCTTTTGACATTTTTTAGATAACCTAGTTTCTGCACTTCAGAAGCCAACTGCGCGAAAGAACTGCGGAGCCCTTTTTGGAACTGGCGCAGGACGTCCTGTTTGAGGCAGCACCTGAGCAGGGCTACGATCATGTAAAATCGGATAACATGTCTTGCGCAACGCATCAGAACTGGTAGTACTTGGTGGCAGTGGGGTGTACCAATCTTCAAATCAGAGCACACATTGATCGATATCATGGATGTGGAGAATATCCACAAGTATGACGCAGTTCTGATACTTTTGCTAGGCGGCATGGTCTTTTGTCGCTTCGCAAGAAAGTCTGCGATCCCACGTCGCATTTCAAGAGACAAATTATCACATGTGGAGCTAGGACAGCCCATAAAAAATGTTGCCCCCTCACTTGGTAGCAAAGTTCAAATCAGCAGTCTTCTCCACCTCCTTCAGCTGTGCGATTTGCTCCTTCAATCGATCCTCCTTGCTCTTGGCGTTCTTCTGGATGGCTGCCTGGGCTTTCGCAACCTCTGCCTTCAACTTTGCCTTCTTGTCCTCCACGACTGGTGCTTTTTTCTCTTCTGCGAAGGCCATTTTTGGGCTGGTGAGGCCCAAGATCAAGCCCATGAAGGAAGCCATCACAACTGCCCCAAGAGGCGAGCTGCTGTTGGTCTCCTGAGGGATCTCAGCTCGCTGCATCTGCTCATAGCGGCCGGAGCGCAAAGCGGGCTGCGGAGCACCAGGGGCCACAAACGCAGAGCTCTGCACAAAGACTGCGCCAAGGAGAATAGCCACGAAGCGCGACATGGTGGTGGAGTGCTCGGCGTCACTTGATGATGCTCTTGAGCCGGGGCAGCTTGAATGAACAGAATGTTACACATTTTGTAAAAGCTGCTTGAGACGGATCAAAAGAGACTGAGATCATATGCAAATGTTATCAAATGTTCTTGATATTTCTTGATCCTAGTATTATATCTCTGGAAAGTAGGCTCATTTAACACCCAAACACCCAGGCTCAACACCTGGTCAGCTGATGAGCTCACTGGGGCAAGTTTCCCCATCGCGCTTCGCCTTGGGCTTGTGGTCAATTCGTGTTGCGGGCGATGGAAAAATAACCCCGCCATTCATATCATTATGTATGATTTTCCCACCTGAACCATAATGCCATACGGACTGTGCGGATTTCACTTTGCCATGTTTGATTCCCCCGGGTTTACAAACCAATTCACACAAACATCTCGGCAGATGGACCTGCAGAGGTTCGATCTGCATCCCATCGACAAATGCGGGTGGGACTGTTTTGGGCCAGTGCAGCCAGATGCAGAAATACAAAATTAGAGTTTGGAGTTTTTTGAAAACTCATGTGTTTGAGTGAGGGCACAACTATCGTGTGTTTGAAACCCAGTGATTTCACTTCCTTGGGATCTTGATTTGTTCCAGTACATTGGTGCCCTCCACCAAATTCAGAATGACAGGTGGCAACAAAATGAACGTCATTGATACCAAATGACTCATAAATAGGCGACCGCAGTTCATGTCATCACGTGCACCTATCATTTGAATGTTATCAGAACAGTGAGTGAATCGATTCAGCAAATAAGGCACACCATCCCCGTAATCAAGTTGTAATTGTAATGAAGGGCTGAAAAACGAAAGGCGCCAGTCAGCAGCCATGTCAGCTAGTTTTATCATGGGGAGCTATCAGTGACGCATACCAGAAACTGGCAATACCATAGCTGACCATAGCTGCTATTGGAGCGAACCTACCTGCAATTCGGCAATCCTCTTTTCCTGGCGAGAAAACAGCAGACCAGTAGACTGATTCATCTGCAGTCCTCAGTGTCATGTCGACAGTGAATGATAGATACCTTCATACCTCCATTGGGTGGTCATTGTATGAAACCAATGCTCAGCGGCTCAGCGGTTTGCGACCAAAGCTCACTGATCGGAGACATGCTCATGCAGCGGCGAAGATGCCTCGACATTACCTGCTCAGCAACTGCTGTTTGGAAGCAGCCTAACACACCTTGTGAGATCTTCCAAGTCTAAAGTCTGAAGTTTCTTGAATTTTGAATAAAGGACGTTTGTTTCACGAGAGCAACCTTGACTCAAGCTGCAAAAGCGGAGAACACTCTGCATCAAGTCATGAGTGACACAATAAGACGTACTGCGCACTGACTTGCCGAGAGTCTCTCAAGAAAGTGAACGAAAGGATCCCCCTCTCAAAGACGCAATCATTTGCTCCATCCCATCCCACCGTAGATCTTAGAGATCTTAGATCTACTGTAGGTCACCGACTCTTTGCCCCAGGCCCCAGCTCCACCTGAATGCAGCGCTTCGCGCAGCTTGCTCAGTTCGGCAGCTCGTTGATTTCGAGCCGCCAAGGCCTGGTGGTGGCCATTGCGTCATCGTTGCCCCGTCCACTGCACCATGCACCATGCACTGCCCGACTGCCGGGCCTCTCTGAAGCCATCAATGCAGTTGTTGCTGCAAAAGACCCTGCGAAAAACTGCGAAGGTTCGAAATTTGTTTTTGGTTTCCAGCTCCTAGTTTTTTATGGATTGATTCTAAGGGAAGCCGGTGAGGCTGTGCATTAATGGCTGTCAAAATACTTCCAAAATGTCCAATCATATATCAGAGGATTCAATCGCTGCATTCCAGAAAGTACCAGTCCAATACTTCGAATTTAATGTGAACCATCAGATCAGTAGCCAAGTAGTGTCTAAATGCTTAGCCTGAAATGGAATCGCGCAGTCGAAGACAACATCTGTTTATGCAAGAGCCAAGCTACTTACACAGTAGTTGTCTGATATTACCTCCAACCGTCACCAAGTTTGCAATCACATCAGCCCAATTTTGTGTAAACCATATCAAACAACAACATCCTTCTCACGTTGACTAACCTTTGCAGCAAGTCCTGCAATCTCCATCAAAAGGGGTACCAGGTCGGGAATCCACCTGGACAAGTTGGAAAATCTATTACCCTTTGCAAGCCTTTTGATTTTCAAACCTGTGGAAAAACAGCAAATTGAAGAGTACAAGTAGTACAAGGTGTAAAAAAAAATATCCAAAATCAAGATCTGACATCTAATATATCTGATTGACTCACTTCGTTGCAATTGCTGGCCTCGTCCGGGGACAGATGCAAGGCAATGGATAGATAAACTTTGCGGTAGCATTGGTAGCAACATCCCTGGCCAAAACCACGAGGTGACTTGCAATAGACATGGACGTTTGCGCTTCTTGGCACAGCACCCGTCTCACAGACCTTGTCAGTTTTTCCCGAGGAACCCGGGCGAGACGAGGTAGATGCACGATGTACCTGCATCGGTTTGAGACCCTGGGATGGTGGTAGGTCGGGTCGTGTTTTTCTATGAGATCGGAATGCTTGATGCAGCCTGTTCAGGTCGAGAATGATGGAAAGGCTCATGCCCCACCTGAGAGCCAATTCAGTCAGCCATCATAGACAATAGTAAAATCTGGTAAAGCAGTGTCACACTCTATGACAAAGACTAAAACCCACAATGACCCACAGCCACTTTCCATCAATTTCCCCCGGTAACATCACTTGGCACACTCAAATGCACGAGTTTCAAAGTATGTCATGAATCTTCGACCATGTTGCATTGGATGCAGGAGCCACTTCGTCCACAGTAGCCTGTCGCCAACAGATTCACTTGTTTTTCATGATGACGTGACATGATGTGGCGGGGCACTCAAATCTTCCGCCTCATCAGCTTCTGGGCTATCATCGCCCACGGCCACATCAGCGTGAGAGATTGGTTCTGAGCCTTGCAAACTTTCACAAAATGTAGATGTATGAAGACTGTCAGTTTGTTTGAAACTGGTTGAAGCAGTTGCAGAAGTCTCGCACACTTCCAAAATTTGAAGATTGTCAAGTCCCAATGTTTGCTTACCCTCTGCGGCAACTCATCCAAGTGGCGCGTTACCACCCGATTGCTGTGACCTTCAGCGCATCGATGCCAGCCAACTGGCATTCGCCTTGGCAAACATCTCAGGAATTTCAAAGACCCCCGAATGGCATGAGCAAGCCGCCCCGCATATCCCACATGACATCCAGACCCTGCTACCATCTTTGCAAAAGTAGAACTCCCTGTCTGCATGGTGTCGAATCTCAGTCCGCTGCCCAAGACGACCCCAATGTTGAGCAAAGCTATGACCTGCACTAAACATCACTAAACTATTTCCATTACAATTTTTTGTGAGACTCGAACAACCCATCTTTCAACATCTCTTCAGAAACTTTGGATTGGACATCAAGTCGCTACTCTCCTGGCTGCGCGCGCAGGCACTCGCAACATGGTCTACAAAGAGACCCCAACTGCTGTGATGCTCCACGGTTTTTTGCACAAATGGAATTCAGCTTATATAATGTTCCCAAACTTTTAAAAAGAATCGCTCGGTGCATAACATGAAATTTGTGGTAATGTCACGCTATCCACAACCACAAAATTAATAGAAACAGGCAAATGCACTTTGGGCATCACATGCATGTTCATCGGAATATTCCACTATGATTGTCGTCCTCATCATCGCCATCATCTCCATCATCGCCATCATCGCCATCATCGCCATCATCATCATCATCATCATCATCCTCGTCGTCATCGTCGTCATCATCATCATCACCCTAAAAGTTCTCTTAACCTCATCCTCATCCTCATCCTCATCCTCATCATCATCATCATCACCGTCATCATCATCATCATCATCATCAGCATCAGCATCATCATCATGATCATCATCATCATCATCCTCATCCTCATCATCATCATCCTCATCATCCCCATCATCCTCATAATCCTCATCCTCATCCTCCTCCTCTTCGTCCTCATCCTCGTCATCCTCATCCTTATCCTCATCCTCATCAACATCATTATTGTCATCATCATCATCATCATCATCATCATCATCATCATCACCGTCATCATCATCATCATCATCATCATCATCCTCATCATCATCATCATCACCATCATCATCATCATCATCATCATTTTCTTCTTCCTCTTCTTCTTCATCATCATCATCGTCGTCATGATTATCGTCGTCGTCATCATCATCATCATCATCATCATCATAATCCTTCTCGTTATCTTCATCATCGGCGTCATCATCTTCATCGTCTTCATCATATTCATCTTCATCTTCATCTTCATCTTCATCAGCATCAGCATCAGCATCAGCATCAGCATCATCATCAGCATCATCATCAGCAGCAGCATCATCATCATCATCATCAGCAGCAGCAGCAGCTCCAGCAGCTCTGCACACTTTGCTTTGATATGTTTGCAACTAGGTCTTGCAGCATCACCAACCAAACTATGTACATGTCATAATGCCCGTGCTCCGTGTCCTTCCCGCCTTCTGAAGGCAACTCTGACTCTGCCGAGGTCAAGTCACCCAGTGCATGAAGCAATCGCCGTCTTGGCGAAGGTGGTAGTCCAACCTCTTTGGTGCTTGGGCTGCTGGGCACTTAGTCACTTGAGGCAAAACCGAAGAAGTCAGGGAAACCTTAGGCAATACTACTGGTCCTACTGCTATCCGACAATTTGTGGAGACGATTTGAGTCAGATACTTCTAAGACATCCAAGGCTATTTCCAAACCGTTTGGGAATCAGTCGAAATTCAATACCCACAAGTAACCGCTTAAATCAGCAAGTATCGGTATCATCTGGAGGTCAAGTCACTTTCGCTGATGATATACCCATTTTGAGATGAGCTTCACTGGGAAAATCATTGACGTCGCTTTGGTTTTTGTTCGTTGGATTTTATGGATTTTCCATTGCCAGGTCAGATTGCCAGATTGATTTTTGAGAGTGGGTTCAAGTGGGTCCAACGGAAAATGTCCATAATGTTGGACGATTTTCGATGAACACCTCCATTGATCAAGAATTCCCCACTGCCAATGGTTAAACATTTATTAACTTTAGATCCCGCCTGCTCCAGTAGCTCCGGGGTAGCAGCACACAGCGCCTGGAAACCAGTTGATGGAATAGGGTAAACATTATTTTTGGACAAACCCATATGACTCATATGACCTATACATACCTAAAACATGTATGAACTATCAGTACTTAGAACCAACCAAAACGAGGTGTCTTGAGGTGTCTACAATGAGGACTTTCAAGTGATCCATGTTGATAATCTTATTCTAGGAACTAGGAAAGCATCCCGCTTCCCGCCACTGAGCAACACATCGAAATCCTCATATCGGCACAGGAAACACATCAAGTTACAGGCTTCGGCATTGCCGCAGCAAGCGAAAAAGGAAGAGACTTCCATGTCTGGTGCTTCCATTTTTGGGTGCCGTGATCAATTCACAAGGCATGAAACTCAGGCGGTCTAGAACCCCCACCCAAACCTAACCATCCTGCAACGCCGATCTGTTCTATGGCCTCCATGGAGCTTCCAGGTGCACCAGGGCCACTCTCAAGCAGGAAGGCCTCAGGCTGCAACTCAACTCAGTGCACAATCTTGTCACAAATATTGTCCTCGTCTACACTGGAATTTATACGGTAATTGCGCACGGAGGAAACGAAGCTGTTTCCTGGCATTAAAGCCTCCATGTTTGCAAGTTTTTGGTTTGCAAACCTTTGATGGAACTCTGGAATCTATGCTTGTGACCCTGAACAGACTCGGTTGGTTTTGAATGTAGAATACAGCTGAAAGTGATCAAATGTCATCAAATCACCCTGAAGGCGAACACGTCAGCACTAAGCTGAACGCATATTGTTCCAAGCTGTGTTCTGCCAGGAACGAATGCACCTTCTGCTTCGAATGAGCCACAACGAGAAAGCATTACAAGCACTTGAGAGACTTTGACACCCTTGAGCAATCTTCAACAGCACAATTTTGACCAAAAAGCAAAATCATTCACAATATTCACATTGAATTCTGTTCAAATTCCAGTTGCCTCTGCTGCTTCTTCGTCCAATCTCTCACTCACTCGCAGCAGCCAGGCCATCTCTGCACTGGGAGCACTGGGCACAGCGGCACTTGGTGCACCGCCGCGAGATGTGCCACAAGGTGTGCCACGAGATCCCGGCGGCAGTGGAGCGCAGCTGTTGCTGTAGGGCACGTCGTTGCGCACGTCGCTGCGTGGCACCTGTAGGGCCTGTGGGGCCTGTGGGGCCTGTGGGGCCTGTGGGGCCTGTGGGGCCTGCGACGCTGGTGGCACCTCGCTCCGGCTGCACACCTTGGAGACACGCTCCTTTCGTCGCGGTGGCTGGAAGCGACGGCCTGCTGCTTTTGCTTTGGGTTCCACCTGGACTTGCAAATGTGGAGAACGCACACATGACAATGCCAAGTCATTCAAAGTAAGCATGGCAATCTCTTGCTTATAGATCAACATAAAGCAATTGCTCTGTATTTGGGAGATCTCTGAGAACATGATGAATCTCTTGCTGTTTCATCCTAACCGTCTTAACCTCCATGAATCAAGAGATGGTGGTGTGCTATTCCTCACCTCCCTCCTCAGTTGGCCCATAAGTTTCTCCAGCCGTTGCCGCTCCAAATCGCGGAGGGCTGAATGCTGGCCATCGATGGTGGAGAAGCGCGACATCGGAAGTCAAGTGTTTTTTTGGCATCAAAGCCGTGAGCTATCAACGGGTCACATGAGGTCGCTTTTCTTGGATACAAGATGAGATGATTTCAACACAATTTGTGACTTGGATATCCTGTCTCTGTAGATGCAACCTTTACTGCAGTTCAAGTGTAAACGGAGTTTGATAGAGACTTCCCTGATATATATATATATATAATATAATATATATATATCGCTTGATAACACCTGAGTTTGCCTTGCCATCTTTGCAATAATCAAGCTTTCCATGTGCTTGTTTTCAAGCAGTACAGCAGCAGTGTTTTCAAGCAGTACAGCAGCAGTTCAGTCATCTCGTTCCCATTGGCTATAAGACTTCAAACGAGCACCAGATATTCCGCTGAGTATCATCAGGCAAACCAAATACTCAACAAATAATGTCCATAACATCGATTTTTATATGTTTGGCTTTATTGTAAGCCATGGACAATGTTGGAGTTGCCCCATCTCTTGACGCTTTTGGATCCACCTGGAGTCACAACTCATAGAGAGCCGTCTCCGGCAGAGGAGCTACTGCTTCTCACGAGCGACGGCAATCGCCACGTGGGTGCACGTTGCGGCCATGCCGCCCATGCACAAACGCAGCTGCTCTACTCATATCTTGAAAAGATGTGATAAAATTGTTTGATTAGTGGAACCTCCAGGGAGGATCCGAGCTCATGGCGACAAAGGAAACCACCTTTGTCTGCCAATGAGGCGGCTGTGAGTCAAAATTCTGTCTGCATTCCGAACGGTCTGGATCACTAGCACCCTGGTCTGGATCATCTGCGGTCCTGGTCCCTGATCGGGACGCAACAATTTGACTCACGGGCAGGGAAATATTCTGCTGACGATGTACAGTGTACAACACAAAGATGCCACAGCTCTTGGATCTAACTCCGCTCTCGTGCAAATTCAACCTTTGAATTTTGTCAAACATGTCAGCTGGAGCCATGCAAATAACATCAAAATACATCAAATAACCTTTCTGGAATTGACAAATGCCAGCAACTTTGGCTCGCTCAAAGGAAGGCCAAACCTTCATACTTGCGCGCACCCACCTGCATCAAAATTTCACATCAACTCTCGAGCTCTTCTCGCCGGTCTCTCTATGTCTCTCTGCCTGGATGTAGGGCGGATCCGTGTAAAACTTCCCGTCCAGGTCAATGATGGCTGCTTGGGTATGAGTTTCTGTGGCCTCTCCAGGAACAAGCTCTGAGATTCTGAGAAACCCCAAAAAAATATATCAAAAGTACCAAAAACATCCAAAAGCTGTACAAAAGAAACAACACATAAAAATCGAAGGAACAAGCAAGGGATCAAGCTCCACCGACAGCTCTTGAGCTCGGAGCCGGGGACATACAATGGGGGGATCAACAATGAGGGAAACTCAACTCACAACGAGGAAATGAGAAATGGTCCCCGAGACATGGACCAGCTATGGGGGAAACACAACGGGAGAAACACAACGTTCATGCAAGGTGGTGTTTCAGGTTTGCTGCCGCGCATACACCTTTTTTCTGATGGACACGCGGCCCTCCGGTCTTTCCGGCCCACCAGGATGCGATCCCGGTGGGACTTCTGAGCCGGCCACGATTTCCTTGTGGCTCATCCCGTTCGGCGAAGGTAGCGACCAGCCTGCGTGAAATTGGGAGGGGGGGGCAGGGAAACAATTTCACATGCCCGTGGGGACCTCGAACCTAAAACACATATGCACAAACTTTTACATGACATGGTCATGAGCAAGTTCATGCAAGGTGGTGTTTCAGGTTTGCTGCCGCACATACACCTTTTTTCTGATGGACACGCGGCCCTCCGGTCTTTCCGGCCCACCAGGATGCGATCCCGGTGGGACTTCTGAGCCGGCCACGATTTCCTTGTGGCTCATCCCTACTCCTGTCTTAGGAGTTCCACCGGCCGAAGAACTTTCGTCCTTTCTTCTTCTCCTCATTCTTCTTCATCTTTTCCACTCTCTTCTGCTCCTTGAAGGCCTGTACCTCTCTGAGTTCAGAGTTGCTCGCTTTCAGGTAGCAAATCGCCGAGGACCTCCCACTTGCAGTTGTCCGGCGTGACTCTCCTTCTGAGCTCCTCGTTGAAGGCACCAAACTCTTCATTGGTTAGGTCATCTGCTCTTTGGTTGTTCTCCCTCTTGATCCACTTTAGGTCCGCAGTGGCTCCAACCTTCCTCAACGTTTCACTCACCTCAATCACCAGCAAAGTGATGGGGAACTTTGTCGACATCCCCTTCTTCAAGATGAACTCGTTTCCTCTGTTGTCTGTGAACGCTTCGGTGTGCACCTGCAAGTGGTCCTTCTCTTCCCTCAACCAAAGTTTGATTGCAACCAAGGTCGCCAGCATCTCCAACGCCGCAATCACCCGTTTTGGGTTCCCCTTCTTTGCCCGTAACCACGGTGCCATCCACTCCTCGACCTTTTCTGAAAACCACTGGCACCTTTTGGTGTCTTCGTCTGTCTGCAACCAACCACCAATCCATGCGTTCTCCTCCGTGGCCTTCGCATCCGTCCATATCTTCATGACAGCCCTCGGCCCAGTGAGTCTTTTCTTGACTTCTTCAAGCCTCTGCCCTTGTTCCATCTTCTTAACAATCCACCTCATCACTACCAAGATCACCCAAGGGACCCTCAGCAGACCCTTGGTCCCCCAGACTGCTGAAGACCATGAGAATAATGGCCCCAAGAGCGGCCTTTCCCACGGCAGCGCCAGGGACGCAAAACTGAGTCGCCCCAGGCCCGCAGCGAACTCAAGGTCTGTCACTTCCTTCCTTTTCTCAACAGACTTCATCCAATCGCAAAGCCAGCTCGCTCTCTTCTCAGAGAGGCCCATTGACAGCTTCTTGTAGTCGGTTGTGATGCCGACCCACTCCGTCACCCAACCACCTCTCTGCTTCTTCCATTTGAATGGCGCCCCAACTGCCGCCATCACCAAAAAGACTAACACCGCTCCAATCCTCCCAGCCTTGGAAGGGGCAACCACCTCCAGGTCATCAGCATACAAAAGCATCTCGACAAAGAAGTGTGGGCCCACTACGTAGTGGGCAAGCCGGATCAAAGCTCCACTGAGCCTCGCCCACCAATATGGGGTGGATCCAATGCCGAACGTTCCAACCCTGTTCACGTAGATGACGTCCTCCTCCTCTGAGATTCTGCAAGCCAGGAACCCTCTCTCGCTCTCTTGATACAGGAATCTGCGGTGGGCCTTTTCAAAGTCTCCCACCAGTGCCATCACAACTTCTTTGACCTCCGCCAGCTCCTCTAGGATCTTTCTCTTTTCCCTAGGTCCAGGCATCCTCACTTTGTCCTGGCACCTAATTCTGTTGTTCACACCAATTCTGTTGGTGCCATCGTGAATGACCCTCTTCTTTCCGCTCGCCTCGTCCTCAACCAATACTGCCAGCGCTGCTATTGCTCTGTGCTCACCGTATCTTTCTATGAACTGCTCGTTGCTCATCTTGTCCATCAGCCCTGCCTCTTACCTCCGCCTCAAGGTGCGCCCTGAGGTGCTCTTCATGCAATGCGGCTGAGACATGGTTCTCCTTGGCAATGTCCCACTGGGCGGTGGGGTCATCATCCAATGACCACTTCACCTGTTGTTCGAAGACTCCTGGCGTCCTCGGCAAACTCTCAAGCACCCCCAGTGGAAAGCCCGTGCACGCTCTGTCCAGGAACTCCCAGTCGCAGTCCCCAGCCTTCTCCAAAACACCCTTCATCAATCTGAGGTAGAAAGGCTGTCCCGGTGGGATCTCATTGGTCCCTTCTTCAAGGCCCAGCTCTTTGATGAAGATTTGCCTGACTTCTTCCAATAGACCCTCATCTTTTACCAGGTTGAAGTGGTCACCGCCCTTGGTCATTCTGAAGAACTCCATCTCTAAGCCCTTCTCTCCGCCCACTCGCCTCATTGCCGCTCCTAGCACCTTCTGCCTCATAATTTCCCAGTCTCTGGAGGCTGGATACCACCTCCTTCCTTTCAGCCATCTACCAGGTGATGGCAGTCCTCCCCCATCATGAAAGGGTGCTTCATAGCCTTTCCAGGTGCAACTCCTGGGCGGTCCATCCCCTCCAGGGTGGATTGGGTCCATTGGGTCCACAACTGTTGCCTTCTTGCGCGCCTCTGTCTCTCCAGCATCTTCTTCCCTTTTCCTCTTTTTGCTGTCGTTGTTGCTGTCCCCTCTCGCACTGTAGCTCTGGTACGCGGCAACTATGGTTTCTGCAGCCCAGCGGCAGAGCTGTTCTGGCCAGGCGGCAGCCGCAGCTGTGCGGAAGGCCCCATTCTCTCGCCCAATCAAGGGCTTGCCTTCCCTCTTGGGCAGCGGCCCAATGTAGCGACCCTCCGCATCCATCTCCGGGGCGCCATTGACCATCGCCGGGTGCACCTCGCCATCCAAGTGCAAGAGAAGCCTCGTCGGTTTGACGGCTTCAGTGCCGAAATCTGCCTGCGCGAACACTACCGTCCTCAAACCTTCTTCCAAAGCTTTGAAAAATTGTGGAAACTGCCACATTGACGCTGGCCTGTGCCCGGGCACTTTGTCACCCTTGGTCTTTCCAAGATCCTCTGGCTGTTCCATCATGCCTACATAGCCCGCGTGCTGAGCTTGTCTCATCATCGCCTCAAAGGAAAAATCTGCCAGCGAATTGCCCAGCTCAGCCTTCTCATAACGTGCCCTTTGGTTCCACGGGAATCCTCTTGGGTGGATGTGGCTTCTCACAGGGAATGGTCCCTGGTCATTCGCCCATACCGCCCTGGAGAAGGTGGAACAGGGCGGTGTAACAAGTACTGCGAAAAATTCGCCGTTGGTGATACGTTGCAGCCATCTCTTCTGGACCTGCTGTAAAGTGAAGTCATGTTTCCGGTTCCTTTGGATATCCAGCTCGATGACCTCCACATTCACTGCATGCATCTTTGCAAGGCGCTTGAGGTACCCTGCCACTGAATTCTTCCTCTTACGTCCACTGAAGACATAGAGGACCTTGAGTCTGCCTCAGGACGTCGACGCCCCTGCCCCCTTGGTGTCTCTGGGGGGATCCTGCCGGTTCGAAGACGAGCACTCCGGCAAGGCATGCTTCGGCGAAAAGCATATCCCACAGACATGCTTGAACTTGCACTTCTTGGCCTGGCACTTCTCACCGGAATTGTACCTGTAGCAGATCATCTCTCCTGCCGGCGTGTGTGACGCGCAGTGGCCACCCTGGGCAGCTGACTTGCCCTTTCCACGGCCCTGGCCTTTCTTGCCCCAGGTTCCCTTCTGTTGCTTCTGCGGTGGCTGCTGAACCTCCTGGTTCCTCCAAGGTGGCATTGGCCTCTTGGCGTATAGTGCCAAAGGAGTTGTAAAGTGCCTCTCCTTTACCGTGCCATCCTTCCACGCCTCTTTGAGGGCCACCGTCCAATTGCGGCCTTCTGGATTGACCAACCTTGTCGCCTGTTTTCGAACCGCATGCTCGTAGCTCAGGACTAAGCTCCATGGGGGACTTGCTATGGTGTGACCCTCCTCATCTCGTGCCACCAACCCATAAACGAATTCCCCCAAGATGTAGTTCTTGTAGTCCTCGAAGACCTTCTCATATTCTCCCTGTAGCTCTGTCCTATTCGTATGTCTCAAGGCGACTACCACCATCGCATTTCTCATAATGGTGAGCCTCCTCCTGAGCTCTTCTGCATTGCCCGGTTCTTGCACTTTCGTGATGCTCCTCTTCATTGTGATCTTCCCCTTTGCATCCCAAATGGGGACAAGGGCATCCGGGTCTACCTCGTCCTTCGACACCACCTCCATCAGCGGTTCCGCCCGGTATTCTCCGGACTCTACCTCTGCCAGCTTCTTCTCCACGTATTCCTTGGCCGGCGTGACTTTCTCGTCCATGAGGCCATACTTCTTTTCCAAACACCTGCCTCATGGCAGTCCACTCGCTGGGGACAAGTGGCTTGGCCCTGTCCTGAACCTCATATTCTGCGTCTACTTCTGCGGCCTTCTGTGACCTTGAAACTGAATTTGCAAAGGCACACACTATGGCCGCAACTTGGACTCTTTCTGCAAGACTTCTGTCTTGGTCCAAGTCCCAATGGTTTTTCAGAACCTCCACCAAGTCCTCCCTGTCCTTCGCCAGGGACGCCAGCTTCTCCACTGAGTTGATGCCATGGTGATAGAAGAGCCTCTGATTGTTGATCTCGACCTCATACTTCGCCAGCAAGAACTTTAAGTCTGTACCTCCTGCCAGGTCGGCGGCCTTCTCTTGTTCCTCGGTCAGCACCACCCTGACCATACTTCCTCCCAATGGGGGCTCCCACTGAGTGAACCTCTCCACGGCTGCGGAGCAAGAGTTGAGTCCCTTTCTGCACAACATGCTGCGAGCAACAACCCTCTGCAGACCTCAACTACCTCAGCTGCCTCTTTCTGGACCCCTCATGCAGCGTGCACAACCCCTGCAGAATGAAATGCAACCCTCCCCATGTCCAGGCCTCTTCCCAGCGCAATGCCCCCTTGCAGCAGGGCTCGTCCCGGCGTCCCGACCTCCGCACGTGCGACGTGTAGATGACGCCCCGTGACATGGGACCACTCTAAGCAGCTTGAACCGGCCATGGGGCTCCCATGGTCTTACACCGGCCATGGGGCTCCCACGGCCTTCCCCTCTGTTGCAGATACCTTGCAACCCCGGCCATGCAGCGTGCACGGCCCTCGCCCATGGGGCTCCCATGGGCCACCGGCCACAGTGCGACTGTGGACACCCCCTGAGCGCTGCCCGCTTCGCCCTATTTTCCGGGGCACCTTCTCAGTTGTCCGTGATGTCTGACATGCCCAGATCATCGCAGGAGTCACTTGTGGACTCCTGCCCCTTCTGCGCTGATTGTTTCCAGCACAGCTTGCACCACGTGGAGTAGTTTTCAGGCTCAGGGCAATGCTCGAAGACCTCTGCCTTGCTGAAGCTCCTCTTCCGCGCCATCCAGCATGCGTCTGGGCCCAACTGGTGGAGCGTTTCTCGCCCTGCCCTCTGGTAGACAATGACGAAACCACCCTGTCTTTCTTCAGCTAGGCTTTGATACTTCCTCTCTTTGGGCTGCTTGTCCTTGCCCAGTTCGACTAGGTCTCTGAGCTTCTTCCTCTTGCCACCCTTCACCTGCTCAACTTCCTTCGGTGAACCTGCAACGCTCTCTGCAGGCGATGTTGCACTCTCTGTATCGCTCTCCGTGCCCTTCTCGCCTTCATTCACCTTCATTGCAGACAGCACCTTGGCCCTGTTCTTGAAGGCCTCCACGGATCTATCACTTGCCTCTCTATCCACGGCCCAGTGCGTCACCAGCCAGTCCTTGATCTCTTCCAGGACACTGCCCTCGTCGAAGGTAACATACCCCCTTCCGCTTCTGACCTCCTTCACAACCTTCTTTTGCAACCTGTCAACTGCGGCATTGTATGTCCTGACATATTGATCGCTGCCTTCTGGCAACCACCGTCCTATGAGATCTCTGTCGGTCTTCCCCACTCCCATCGCTGCTAGACAACTGGGGAGTGTCGACCTCTCCGAGTGTTCCGTCCAGAACCTCTCGAAGCCCTCCGGGAAGATCTTGTTGCCCTCATAGTCCTCCAGCGCTGCAATGACCTCACAACTGGCCCCAGAGGCTTCGTAGTATTTCATGGGGCCCACACCGGTCTGGCCCTCCGTGAAAGCGCCTTCATTGAAGACAAACTGCCCATCGTCTCTCCACGTAGTTCTGACCAACTCCAACCCAGTGCCCAGCCACTCCTTCCGGGCTACATATGCGTCCACACCGATGAACACCGGCAATTCCCGGACGCGCTTTCCCGCACCAGTCGTCTTGGTCTTCTGCAAGATTGCGGTCATCTTGCCATCATAGTACTTCAGGGTCTTGACCCTCATATTGGCTGCATCGCTGAATCTCAACGCAGCCCACATCTTCACCAACTTCATCCATGCTGCAATCCTCCTTCCCACTGGCTGCTTGCGAGAAACCACGATCTCCTCCATGGGTCCTATCATCAGCGTCAGCCACCTCGGCGCCCTCTTGATGGGTGCCGCTTTTGACTCCAACTTCTTGACCAGGTCCTTCACCACTAAGTCTACCGCCTGGTTGCTTGAAAGGCGATGCTCCTCCGGCACACCTGCCATTTGCTGGAACCATGCAACCGACCGCGACACCGCGAGGGGAATGGAGGCGCCCATCCCCTCTTCCTCCCGGACGAACAGGTAGTCGATGAAGCTCGTAGGCGAGCCTGTCATGCGGTTCTCAACCAGCTCACACCACTTCCTGTAGTGCTGCCATCCGGCCAAGTACCTCCTAAGTGTCGAGGCCCTATACTTGCCCAGCAGCGCCCGCATTGCTCTCTCGGGCTGGGCCGTCCCTTCCATCTCTGCGAGCACCGGAGCCCCAACACAGGTCAGCTCATTCACTAAGATCCGTAGGACCTTCTCTTCAGCCTCATCTTCTGTGACTATCCGCCCTGTCCTCAGCCGGACGCTCTTGCCCAACGTGCCCTTCTTTGGCACGAGCCGGGGCTCAGCCATCTCTTTCTTCTGCTGCTCCTTCCTCTCGGCCTTCTCCCTGTCCATGGCTGCTGCGGCATCCCCCAGCATCTGCCTTGTAGACGACGACGCCGATCCTTGGAGTCTGAGTTCGAGGTCCTCCATCTGCTTCGCAGCGGCGACCTGCCCCTGCACAAACTCTAGGTGCCACCCCCTTGGCTGCAGCTTCAGGTGGTCCTCCAGCTGGCGGGTCAGTTCTGCTTCAGACCCTACCGACACCGCCAACTTCGGGCCCGTAAGCCCCAGCTGCTCCAAGCAGGTGAGGATTGCTAGTGCTTCCTCACCCCTCTTGGCATCGGCAGGGATGGGCTCACCCATTGCTCCTACCCTACCGGAAGCAATTTCACATGCCCGTGGGGACCTCGAACCTAAAACACATATGCACAAACTTTTACATGACATGGTCATGAGCAAGAGAAAAATCAGAAATGCTTACTTTTCTGAAACATGTTTTATAGTTTTTAGAGTGGGGGGCTTACCGGACCTAATGATTAAGAACTAAGCCATTAAGAACTTGAGGGTACCCTCGTTCACAATCCCATATTTTTTGACATATAGCCATAGCATGCCATAGCCATATAAAAATTAAAAACCCCAGGGTACGCTGGAAATTTCTTATTCGGTTCTTATCCAACGGTTCTGCTGTAGCTTCCAGATGTGCCAAAGGCCTCCTCCTTTACACGTAGGACCATAAACAGGTGTCGACTGCCTGGCAGCCTGGCACACTGCACTTGGGCTACACTTGGGATACCTTTCTCAGCCCATCTGCGTGTCAATATAAAGCCGTGCCTCTTGATGGATGTAAATCCATAGCCCATCTCATGGTGTTCCAAAAATTTCACCTGGCAATGCCCATCAGCAGAAGTGAAAGAGTTGGAGGCGCCGGGCAGTGCCTTAATCCTCGTCCAGTCCTTAAGTTCTGAGCCGATCAGGACCTGAATGTTCACGAATCGTTCGTCTGCGATGATCAGCATATTCGTGGTGTCCTGCAAGTTCTTCCGCAGCATTGGCAGACCAGAACTGTACATGCCAACCCCAGAATCCACACAACTGCATGAGAGACAGCAAACCGGAGGGAATCTCCTGGTGCTCATGGCCAGGGGTGTACTTTGAGGTGTTGGACGCAAATCTGGGAAGCATAATCCACAGCCTGACTCAGTGTGGCTGTCATATTCAATCTTGTTCACATGCACCAAACATTTTAAGGATAGTGTCCCCCTTGCAACTGCAGCCACCTGTGGCTTGTGTGGTTTTGCAACGCCATCTAGAGGGCCTCCTCGCTGGTTCCCATTCAACCGCCTCGTGCCAAATGTAGCCTCAAACACAAATGGGACTCAACGATATCTTGTTGTGTGCTACAGTGCTACATTCGTTTGCCATCACATTGCTATGAAGCGATCTGTATTGCCTGCATTACCGTACCTGTAACTATGGCAAATTTCAAGAGAAGTGGACCACCCCATTCTGAATGGATCTTGTTGACGACACCCGCCTGGTAGAGTAGTATTGGTCACCGTGCGAATGGCCTGTGGACTCTGTGGACTCTGTGGACCCGAAACTTCACTTCAGAATGAACCACAGCGAAACTGTCGAAAATGAATTAAAATGAATGAAAATGACGCAATTGACGCATGTGCGACTCCAGTGCCTGGTAGACTGGATGCCAATCCAAGTTCCGAATCATCCCATTGAAGTCAATGACCTTCACCTCAGGGCATGGCCCCTACACCTCGCCTCGCTGGGTTTCGGCCAGGTCTCGGGCCCACTCGGCATTACGGTGCAGGATCTCACCACTCTTGCCGTACCACTCGAAACCAATGGAGCCCAACCATACGTGATCGTCCTGTGGAGCTGATGCAAGGCCTTGAAAAACCTTGAGAATGTGAAGAAAAGGTGCAAACTCAAAAGAATCCTTTGCATCTTTAAAAAGACACTTTTCACACTGGCTTCTGGCCTTGATGACGGCCCACTCTGCCTTAAACGGCTTGGGCTCATTGCCGTTGCCATCTGCGATCACCCACCTAGACTGCTACAGTACAACAAGGCGGTCCATTTGTGAGACATCTCTTCGCAAAGCAGGCCTCTGGAAGACTTTCCCGGTAGATGCCTGGAGAACACTCCACCACAAGAATGAATAGAAATGAATAGAAATGATGCATACTGTGTGGGTAGGTGAACAACACGAGCATGTGAGGCCGCCACATCAATCTTATAAGCAATTCCCGAGTAGTCACAGAAGGCCAAGAGGAGCCTCCTGGCACCAGTTCGTTCAGCTCAGGTTCATCGTTTGGATGAAAGAGGTCAGTGATGTCTGTTGTTCAAGCATGACATGACCGTGGCTCACACAAGAATCCGCAAGACAGGGCCCTTCCCACTGAGGCTCTTGCCTAAACAGCACAAGTTCCTCAAACAAAGCAGGACCAACAGTGGCAGTTGAAGCTCGTCAAGAACTGTGTGCTTTCAAAGTATGCGCAACTCACTGAAAAATGGGATTCAAACCCCAGGAAATGGGTGTTCGGCCATGCTCATGCCCATCAATCTTCTGTGGTCCCACATATTGGCCCATCCCCAGCTCTTAAAGGATGCTTTCAGGCGTCAGATAGCTCCATCGAACGGTTGCGAGTAGCTGTAGACGACTGCAACTCCAGCTCCTGTCATGTGGCATCAAAACCTGCATCAACCTGCACCATGCGGACCATGCAAGGGTGTCCTCATCCCAAACGACCTTGGATCAGGTCCAAGAAATGTATCTGGATATACCATGATATATCTGCATGCTTTTTAAACTCCAAGTCACACGATTTGAACTGGTACTGTGGGCAAACTGAGGTCCATGTGTGGAGAAGGGGTCAAGCTGAGAAGTGCTGAGATATGAATGGGATTGGAAAACAACCACAGAAGGACAACTATTTCTACCCCATCGCTCTCTGTATTGCCCACATGTGATTCATACTTTCAAAAATCAAAGCCACTGTGAAGCGATCGCGCTGTGGCCTGCTGCTCAGCCGGACCGCTCGCCCTTTCCTGATGCCATGGTTCTGATCACCAGATTGCAAGATTCGGACTACTCCACCTTTCATACCTTCCCCAAGTGCCGTGTCGGCATGCAGTCAAGGTTCTTGAGGTACGAACGCCTAAGTGGAGCTATGGACGCTGGAAGTTGAGACTTCGGGCTGACATCTTCAGGCAGCTGAGGGACCAAATGAATTCCTGTGGATCGCGAGAATTCAGGTCCAAGTCAGCAACAACTCCAAACTCGTACTCGGCCTCAGGACACTCAGCCTCCAGCTGAGAATGATTGCCCATGCAACTCCCGCCTCAATGTAGTCGAGCCTTTCATGGTGAGTCCTGAATCAAGCCGAATCCACAACAGAGAAAAAGGTCAACCCCTGGTGAAAAAGTGAAGAAACAACTTCTCCAACCTCAAGGTTTGCTGAAGCTGGCTGCTGTAGTACAGCCTAGGCTCTGAGCTCACGAGCTGTTGTCTAAGCATTGCCCCCAGTCATGAGTTTTCGACGGCTGTTGTGAGAGTTGCCGCTCAATGTCAATCTCTTCCACAGCACCTCAGCAGACTCCCGATGGACAAGTCATGGTACGGGCAACGCTCCCAGCCTCCAGGCGATGCAGCATCACAACAAGATTGGCAGCGCGCCTGACAGGCGGAGTCCCAACTGATCGAAAAACCGCATCTGTCAAGAAATCCAACACCTCACAAGACTTGGGCCTGGCCTCAGGTCCACCTGCCATGGATCTAGATGGATCTAGATGGATCTAGATGGATTGCAGGATCCCATCAAAGACCTCCGTCACTTACACAACCAGAAACAAAGAAAAGAAATGAAAAGTAATTCTCAGTTGGGGATGACGAACATCCATTTGACAGCTATATGGCTATATCCTATTGATGTTCAGCAGGATACCAGGGTTTTGTTCCCTCAGTTTGTTCCAGGAATTCCATGCCTGGAGCTGCTGGAGCTGCTATCAACACGTCTAGGACAATCAGGAGCCAAAAAAAACATCGACTCTGTCTGCAGTGTCTGCAGTACCTCACAGGAGACAAAGTAGTGCCATGTAGTGCCATGTAGTGCCAGAGGCCCCAGAGGCCCCAAAGCCAAAGAGGAGATCAGAAAGATCAGAAACTGCCCCGGAGCCTGGTTGCGCTGGTAGGTGGTTTCATTTCCGGCCATGACATGCGCCGTCTGCGGGCTCCACTTTCTTTGTTGACATGTTTTGACTTTATCATGCTTTGAATGTCCCAGTGCATTCAACCCTTGCCTGCCAAAGCTCTGTGAAGAATCTATTGCAACATCGTAATCCATCATGCACGCGCCTCAGATTCTCAATCTTTTGCATGAAGCGTTAAATCTTTGCTATCAACTTGAGCCAATAAGAAGGCAAAAGACGAATCGTGAGGTCAAACAGCATCCGTTCAAACAAATGTAAATGTTCCACATTGTCATAAAGACCTTCAATGTGAAAGGATCCTTTTGGACATACTGCCACTGAAAGCTCTCCCCACCTTTAAAGTGGTGGCTTCCAATGTCTAACAATGCACAAAGCCAAACTACTTTCGCTACATGCAGGTGCCATCAGTGATGCTCTGACAGGTTGACCCGAGGGTTTGGCCTCCGTGGCAGGCAACGGTTGCGGGGGCTGCAACTTGAGAGATGGATGTTGGATCAACGGAATCAACGGTGCTGCAAAACGACCTGCCTTTGTACAGCCAGAAAGGATCGCAGCGCATCAGACACTGCAGCCAATGCCACATTCACTCGAAGGTCAAATCGAGGTAGATCCTGCCACGGAACTTGGTAGCGGAGTGTTGAGCTCTGCTACACTTCGAAATACCGGGAATGGAGATTTGGCGCGTCATCACTGAATTAGGTTTCACATCAATGGTGCAGGGTTTATGAAATTTTCTGTACTTTTTCTTTCAGACAGTCAGCACAAAGTTCAAGATCCCGGTCCATTCGGCATAGAGGGCATTTGCGAGACAGTGCTGACTGCGAGAAGACACGCACATAGCACCCACCTGGGTGGATTGACACCAAGCCTTGACAAGTCTGTTGGATCGTCCAGCAAACAAACAGTGACTCAAAATCACTCATAGTGGCTCAAAGTGAGCCACAGTGACTCATAGTTTCTTATATAGTCTACAGTCTATAACTTATGAAACAGTTCGTGGGTCATCATCATCATCATCATCATCATCATCACCCATCATCATCATCATCATCATCACCAGCATCATCATCATCATCATCATCATCATCATCACCCATTCCCGATGATTCTCTTCCGCACTTGCTTATCCGACTTGGCTAGGCATCCCTGCGGCATAAGCTATGGCCACAAGGTAGCCCAATGGGTTGCCGGAAGATGCTAAGGCAGCAAGGGCACGTCAACACTTCCTGCACCAAGTGAGTTGCATCCGCTGTATCCATTCTGGGTGGGTGAATGGTGAAGGTCGCCTGTAGAGAGACACCTTCGGGGTTGGAATACTCCGCGAAGTTGAGGAAGTCTTTCCATTGTGGACCACAGTCCAATCTGACAACAGGACCACTCAAAACACTGCAGAAGAAAGTGATCCGAGCAAAGGCGATCCACCTGGAACGATGAACTGGTGCAGCACCAGTCTCTGCAGGGATACATTCACCTAAAAGCAGTGGACCATTGCGGAAATTCCTGCAGTCATTCATAGTTCCCGATCACCGTACCATCACTGTGGCAGATCTCTGCAGTTAAGCGACCCAGTCTCACCAGCAAATAGCGAGGAGCTGCCATACCGCCATTCTGACCAAGCTCCTTCCCAAAGAGCGGCGATTGTTTTACTGCTGTTCACACGAGAACATGAGACATGTGAGTCATGTGAGCCAAATCCGAAAAAAAAAAATACGACAGGTGGCAATTGCCTTATAAATGGATATTGATGGAAGTCTGACCATCCCCGAATTAATGGTTTAATCTTGAACGACCATGGAAAGCCCGTAGCCTCTGCAACTTGCCAAGGCGATGGAAGCCTCGGAAGTTTCTCTTCGTGTCCACTGGTCATTCCACACAGGAGTGGACTATATACTATTTGAATGAATGGAGATTAAGATAAGGGTTAGTCCTAAAGTCCGCCCGCGCCGAAGGTGGTGAGGCCTGGTAGTTTAGCAATGGGTGCGACCGCCCAGATCTGTCCCATGACTTGGCTCCAACACGGTGCAACTTGGTCCCAAGTTCGACCCATTTGGGAGCAACTTCGGCCCAAGTTGAAGTCCATATGGCTTCAAAATGGGGGACATCGTTGGCCCAATCCAAAATCCTCAAAACACCCATTTTGACGGGTATTTTCAACGTTCTTTTTGCTATCGATGACGCTTCGTTTGAAGCAATGTTTCCATATGTTCCCCATGTCTCCGTTGGGCCCAACTTGGTGCGAAGCTGTCGTCAAAAGATGCCAAGTTGCAGCATGTTAGAACTGACTTGGGGTGGCTTCAATTTGGAATCCATCTGGATCGCTTTAGGCCTAACTTCAGCCCAACATGACCATTTGGCGCCAACTTGGGCTCCAGTTGGGCCAGGTTTGGAAGCACCCCGGGGCCAAGCTGGGCCCGACCCGAGCCGATTCTGCGGCCTCGATGCAACACGCTGAAAACGTGCGTTGTTACCTCTGCTTCCAACGTTTTTTTGGCTTTGCTGGTGTGAAGCCGTGTTGCCCACATTGGGCTTGTCTTGGGCCCAACTTCGGCGCCAGACGCAGGCCAAGTTGCGCATGCTAAGCCCAACTTGCGCCCAAACGTTCCCAAGCTGCGCCATGTTGGACCCAGTTGGACTCAAGGTGGGCCCAAGTTGGAGCCAACTGGCCCGAGTTTGGCGCAAGTTAGGCCCAAGTTGGGCGCAAGTGACCTGTTTGGCCCAACTTAAAGCCAAGGGCCAAGGACGGCCAAGTTTGACCCCAGTCGGATTTTGGTTGGGCCAAGTAGGCCCGCTTCTTTCCTCTCTGTCCTATTCTCTGGGTGCGGGCGGTTCTCGGCGCCAAGCGACTCGACTAGGGTATACCCCCCAATAAGACAGCCAAATAGAACTGTCATTTCATAGGGAAATGATGATTTACCAGTATTAACCAGTATTAACGATGGGGTACACCATTTCTAGACAAATCCATAAGAAGATTGTTTGGGTATGGTGAGTCGGCAGAAATATCTCCCTGCAATCTCCAAGCAACTCCGGCGCAGAGAGATGGTGACTCAATGGTCTTTCGGACAACGTATGTTGTGCCTGTCATGCTTGCACCAATTGAGCAACAGAACAGCATCCAAATTCAAAGAGTGTTGAAAGCACCTCAAAGGCGGTAGAAATTTTGAAATATCAATTGAGCTGCTCAGGTTCAAAAAGAATCCGATCCCAGTAGTATCAGTACCGCTTCTGCAATGGGTAGATCGAATGTGGCCTCCATTTCTGGTCTTGAGACAGCCGAAGGCCGGCTGGAACCAGAGGCGGACTCAGATCAGAATAAAAACGTGCAAGATTTCAAGACCTATGATACAAAATGGCGGATCAACATCCATTTATATACTATCATTTACTATCATTTACGGGCTATGTTGATGTTCACTCAGGTTTGTTCCATAGCCTCCCTTCCCCATAATATCAACACATCCCTGCCTTTTCGATTCACATCTTATCACGGCAATGTCTGCTGATTTCTGCTGATTTGAGGCGAGCATCCTGGACCTCCCGCGGAGTCACTTCATAAATAACGCGGGCCTGTCACGTGCAGCTCTGGCTGCTGTCCGCTTTGCCGGTGTAGGTACTGTCGCTTTACTCAGGCGGCCAAGGCGCTCTATGGTCTCTCTCTGCGAGAGGCACAGAACGAGCTCGATCGTGACTGTTGACCTCATCAACTCTGCGTGTTTCCCCCAAGATGTCCAGAGTTTACCCAAGTTTCGCCCAAGACACAAGGATCAAGCAAAATAAGTGAACCGAAATGCGCCATTACAATCCATTGTTTGTGCAGTTTAGTTTGCTGTACCTGTCTTAGCAAGCCGCCCGCATAGCCCGATGCACAGGCAGGAAGTTCTGACCTTCAGGACGGATTCGGCTAAAAGCCTTACTCAGCGAACTCAGAGGCAGCGCAAACAAAACACCAGGGTGATCATGGATGGAAGGATACAGAGATGGATAGTGTCGCATATTATATAGTGATGGATATAGTGACGGATATGGTGATTGGGTATGATATAGTGATTGGATATAGTGATGATGGATGGATATAGACGATATAGATGGTATGCCGTGCTATGCAGAGCATGCTGAGGCTGATGCATAAGAGTTGACGCGCAACCTCTCAGGTCTCGCCTGCAATCTCAGCAGGGTATGGGTCAAACATGGGGCCCAAGGGACTACAAATGATTGTCATGTTTAACAGTAAGCTTTGAACCATCCTATTATTGGATGCGCCATACTGGCAGCAAGACAGAAAGGCCTCTTCGGGTTCACTGCTACCTCAGAGAGATGCATTTCATGTGCACTCCTGCATCGCAACATGGCCATGTTGTGAGGGTCCACCATCCTTACAGTGTACAAGTTATTCAAAAAAGAACTGCGGCAAAGTTTGCAAAACACCTCAGAACACCAAGGTTACTAAGGCTGTCTAAGGCTGGTACTTGAACTAAAACTTCTTGGACTGCAACTTTCATCAATCGGCACATAGGCTCCATCTCCCTATCACAGCCAGGATCCCGTTACACACTCAGTGTCAACCGTCAATCTCCAACCCCAGCCTGCAGAGCTGCTGGTTGTCCAACAGGGTAGGGCGAGACTGCAAAGGGAGGCCGCCTCCTGTGCAACTCAACAGATGGTGTCAATTTACAGAATTTCCTGCAATTTCCTTTCCAACTCTGTGATTCCAGGACTGTGCTCCACACGTGCCACAAAAGTCCAGGGGCTGCTGGAACCTCAGGATGGTTCATCTTCTTTCATCCTCAGTGCTTCCCAAACAATGAGGCACTGACAGCGGCGGACGCCGCCGTACTTCTGAGCGGTGAGGTAGGTTCACCACGGATCCCCTTGAGGCACCAGAGAATGCCAGGTGACTCCTTTCAGGTGCATCAGCAAAACTGATCTAATCTCAACATATCTCAACTGTGAAAACTGGGGATCATCGGATGATCATCGGTCACCCATCCGCTCCTGGGAGGATGCACCAACTGGGCCTCCCGTACCTTGGTGCTCGGTCATGTCGGCTGTCAAACTCGTCGGGCTGGGGCCGAGCCTCTGTCGCATCATTGTGCACGTTCCTCAGCTGAGATATGTGCAATGATGAGATCAAACAAAGTTTGAACTTCGCTTGAACCACAAAGTTTCAAAGTCAGCCGAGATCAGCCAAGAAACCACAAAGTTGAACCCCCAACGCCAGGCCGTGAAGGCATTGGCAACGAACCAGACTGGGGTACCTCACATGAGGATGTTTGTTTTGCCGCTTCAGAAAATCAAAGGTTTTGCTGATTCGAGCCTGGAGCATGGACTCGCTAGGAATGTCTCCAGGTATCTGTCAAGGTTTCAAGATGTTTCAAGTAAAGTTTCAAGTATCTTCAAATGAATGGAAACTGCCGAAGAATGTTGCCGCTCCTCAGTCGGAATGCTGAAGCTGTCATCTGTCAGAGCATCACTGCTTGTGCTCTGGAGACGTGAACGCCTGAACATTCGGAAAAAACTGACCGTGCTCAAGCACCAAGTTTTGAGATCAGCATGCCAGAACTCAGTCGTTAGCATTGGCTCTTCTCCCCTTTCACCTGCGCAAAAAGGCCAGGAATGACAACATCTCTGAGACATCTCAACACAGATCCTTGGTCCTTGGTTCTGCTTTGCCCCGGCCTGGCCCTGCATGAACCGTTGTCATGGTATCTACATTGGAAGGGCCAGAGCACAACACAAGGACCAACACAAGACTAAGAGAAGAAGTTGTCGTTTTCTTCTCTTGCCATTTCTCTGAAAGCAACTACATTAACTTACATTAACTACATGGAATTCAGTCAGAGCCATTGCACTTGGTTTGCTGCGTCACTCTCAAGGTGGATACACTGAAGCCAAAGCTTCCGACCAAGTCTCGCAAAATGAAGTGTGATGAGAATTCGGGGCAGTCAACAAAGTCAACAAAGACTGCATATGATTGGCATATGGTTGTCTTCCCGTTGGCTCACCTTCCCATCTAAATCTTCGTTCGAAAGCATTTGCCATTTTGCAGGTGCGCTTTTGGAATCCAGCCATATTCTGGCCAGGCTCCTCGAATATGTACAAGCGTCATCTTGTGGGCCTTCTCTCAAATCACTTGGCTACTAACATGGTGCGTATCTCCAGATCAACAGCAACTGTATGTGATAGACATTTCGTCTTGGCTGACCACTTAGGACGCATCTTCAGTCATCCTCTCCACTATAATGTACGACTGCCAAACCAATTTGGCGTGGATTCACATCAGTGGCATCAGCAGCACTTTTTCCGTCTGTGCGAAGCCTGCGCCATATCTCAGCAGCGAGTTTTTTGCAACAAAGCATTATGTATACCTCCGGCAATCAAACATGCTAGCTGGGATTCCCGAAAAATTAGCAGCTAAATGGAAAAACTGTCCGTAAGTGGCGGATTTTCCAGCAGCCATGTTTGATTACTGAAGAAATCCGAAGAATAAGTTTAAAGGAACAGCTGCGCGCCAAAAGTGACCTCACGGTGTCGCTGTGGTTCCAGCACAATCTCATCATCAGACTCCGCTTTGGGGTCTGCAGACAGACCTGACGGCCGCATATCATATTGGAATCAGCTAGATCGCACTGTGCACTCCGTTCACCAGGCCTTCTGCAATTCCATTAAAGACAGCATCAACCAAGTCAGGCTTGCAAGAGCTTGCCTGTGGCGATGTGTTTAGGCATGTTTCGGAGTGCAGGGCAAAAACTGAAAAAAACTAAACGAAGCCAACGAAGCCCTGCCCTGTGTGCCTCAAAGAAGAGCATGTTCAGCTCCTCGGCCATTGCTCTTCCCTCGGAGTGCTGCACGCGTCGGTCAGCCTGCGCCAATGAAGCCAATGCAAAAAGAATACATCAATGAAAAAATAATGTGTGTATCTATACATGTAGATGATTGTAGATGGTATACTGTATACACATAATAATAATAATAATCATTATTGTTATAGTAATAGTAATATAATAATAATATATAATAATAATAATAGTAATAACATGCAAAAGCGCAAATGAAACGAAAATCTTCAAGTTGATGACTCCTCTCCCGACACGACAACTGCTATTCATCATAAGCCCTTTTGCTGCATCTTAGTCTGCAAAATTCAAGTGACACAGGTTCCGAGTCCTTTTGACTCTACGGAAAAGGTGCTAGATCCTGAAGAATCACTCTGACAACATAGTCGTTGATTTGTCATAGTGTCGCACGAGTCGTGTGTTTGTAAAAAGCATGGCTATGTGATGGTACGCAAATCTGACATCTTCAACTGCTGTGAAAAGCTGAGGTCAAGGGAGCTTCTAAACAGCATCAGAAAGTCAGCCGGTCTCCAAACGCCATGTTGACCTGCAGGTTCAAGGCCTACCAGTGGCCATCGGACTCCAATGATGCAGTCAAGAAGAACCCTCAAATGTCTGCATTGATCGTTCATATCAGTCATGCTACAAGAAATTAGGAGGAACCCTGTTAAGACTACTACAGAGGTTCTTCGAGCGAGGATCCTTTCTGCTTGGACTGCTTAATAGCATCACCCAGAGACCTTTTCTCGTGAAATGCACTCTCGTGCCCCAGAGCCTAGTCGCTGAAGACCTGAAGCTGCTAAGCTTCCCACATGCTGTACTGCTTTGCATCACACATGCGTGTTTCCACATGCCATGCTGTCATGGCCGCGTGGTCACAGAACGGATCAAAATGGGGCTATCTAAAAACCGCTATCGCTCACGCTTCAGCTTGGCTGAAGGCAAGCGCTGCGCGGCTCCGCTCTACGGTTGTTTTAATCCAGATTTGAAGCTGGCCCAGTGCGTACTCCTTGAAGATTTGCACACTTTCGTCATCAGAGCCACTGCAATCATCACAAACCTGCGGGCAACATGCGATCAAGTAGATTGAAGTAGATTGAAGTGGATCAATCCTGGATACTGTAATGAATATGAATAGAATATGGATAGAATATGAATTTTGATCATGAAGATTTCTGAAGATATGAATAGCATGAAGGTTCCTTTCGTTTTCAGATCCGCACCTCATCACGCCGAACCTCCTCATGCCTCGAAACCGTCTGCTGAAACCTTTGAGACTATCCAACCAACCAGGCTGCATCCTACAGGCATCCTACTAGGCATCCTACTAGGCATCCTACTAGGCATCCTACTAGGCATCCTACTAGGCATCCTACTAGGCATCCTACTAGGCATCCGACTGGATCTACCTGGTCTGCCTTCAAATCGATCTGTTTCAATCAAAATTGACAAAACCTCTAAGATCTCTAAGCTGCAGACGGTGGCCACATCTGCTTTGCAGACCCATCGCTTAAAGTGAGTGGTTCAGGCGAATCAAGAGTTGCGCCAGGGAGGCAGCTTGAAAGTGTCGGAAGATCAGGTGCCCTCCACAAGTTCCGACTCAAAATCGACGTTGGCCTTGGCGACCTCGACCACTCGGAGCCTGGGCATGACTCACCAGGCACCATGACACCACAAGGATTTCGTGTGGCACTGGAGATTTTGCCCGGCCTGCTCTCTGCAGGACTTCCTTGGAACCAAAGGCCCCTGATGCCTCTGGTTCCTGATCCCATTGTGCTCTCATCAGTCCTGCGGAATATTGCGGAATTCTGGTGTTTCCCAAAAAGACTTATATAACGGAAAGCACCACAAGATTTCAACAGCCACACCCGAAGTCCACTCATACCTCACTTGGAACTAAAGACAAATAAGTCACTTCCTAGCCACATGGTGACAAAGAAAATGGCGAACAAAGCTGAGCATGGGGTGAAAAGGCCAGCCACTGGAGAGGAAAGAAAGACTGCTCTGCCCAACTGGCAAGAAAAAGCAATCACTCCCCACAGACTCCCACGACGTGACTATAGTATAAATGGCCAGCGGTGACAAGTGCAGTCCTGAAATTCGAAATTCAACGACGGCCCATGTCGCCCATCAGAGATGTGGCTGGATGTTTCCCACCAATTTTGATGTGCAGAGTTTGGGCTTGAACGATGGCAACTCAAACTGTATTCAGCGTCAATTGGATGATCGAATTTAGCTGTGTCTGCTGCGGTAGATTCAACGAACTGACAGAGAGTGACAAAGGGCTGCGATGGTATTTCTAGTCAGGGACTCATTGTAGGACAGCACAGTTGGTTGGAAAGTTACTACCCGTGAAAAGGCTTTATATATCAGAACAAAACAATGGCATCATGAATCTAATGAATCGTATCTATGTTTTGCGGAAAAAATAGCAATTGCAGGATTATATGTAAATTATATGTTTTGCATGAGTTTGTTTCCAAGATTATCATCATTCACGGGGATCCCTCCAGCCGAGGCTGCCGCCTGTGCTTTCCGAAGGTTGAGGAAAGCAGGCACTCGGGCGGTTCTCCGTTCAGAAAGTTAATGATTGGGTGAGAACAGGACTCCCCTAGTGGATTGTGACATCGCCCAATATATATAATGGTTAGTATAATCCTGCACTAATCATCAAACAAACGGGGTTTTGAACACTGCTCAATTGCGTTTTGCAAATTCAGAAACCAAAATTAGAACTTGAATGACCTGTCAAATGGCTCTTGTTGCCAAATGCCGCAAATGCAAACTGAGCCAGAGTCATCTTCAGAAGCTGTTCAAAGTCAAGTTTGCAGAGCAATTATCCCACGACTCAAAGTAGTGGATAAAGTTGCACAAAACACAGACGTTGGAATGGGTCTTCGCCTCAAGATCAACCTTGTTCCCCACTAAGGCAAGTATCACCTCCTTCCTTGATCTGTCCTGGCAATCGACAGGGCCAAAAAAATCGATACGAATCAACCGTCAATTTACCAGTGCAAGCCTCAAGCACATCCCAAAGTTCCTGAAGGTGTCACGTTTGAACGGTTTTGAACGTCCTAAAGTCCTAAAAATTTTCACGACATGATCTTGCTCATTCCAACTCACCCTTGCCACCTCCAGAACCTGCTCGACCCAGCCATAGACACTATCAAAAGACTCCTTGAGAGCAGTTGGATTAGTTGGATTGAGCTGACTGCGGATGGAGAATCTCGATCAGCTGCAATCAGCTGCAATCAGCTGCAATCTATTGAGCCGATCTCAAATGGTCTGGTGGCTTGTCAACTTTGCCGCATCACTTTTCGGATTGGGCAATGATTCAGGCACACACCCTAGATGTGACGTCGTAGACAATCACACAAACAGAGCTATCTCTGAGGTAGCCTTGGTTACCAAGGCACTCTCCAAACTATTCAGAAAATTCGACAGAACTATAATTTTTTAAAGCAGGAATTCAGGTCTGCGCTGGGCACCAATGCTCGAAACCTCTCTTGGCCCGCTGTGTCCCAGAGTTGCAGTCGAATCTTATGCCCAGCCTGAGGCCGTGAGCCGGGATCAAATTGCTGCGCGGGAACCTCAAAGGTGGCACGCCGCTCCCACGCCTCCAACGTGACCAGTTTGGAGACAAAATCCATCCCCACTGTTGCCTGGTAGCATGGTTCGAAGGTCCTGCAACAAAAACCAATGGGATTGAATGACTAATGTGGAAAACCCAAATGCCATAAACAACTAACATTTGGGAACCCATGGTAATAATTGGGGATTGTTTATAATTGGGTTTACCATGGTTTACTAGGTCATCGATGGTCATCGATGGTCATCGATGGTCATCGAAGTTTATGTTCGTTTCATTCGTTCCACCGGACGACCGTGATCACCGTCCTGTAAACGAACTGCCGGATCAGAGACGTTTTGCCAGTACCGGATTGCCCAAGAAAAACCACCTCCAACAAGCTGAGAAATTCAAGAAAAAATCGGGATTCTGATTGCCAAAAAAGGAAATCTCGGTGGTTCTGCCTTGTGAGACCGAACGGGTTTATTCTGGTTTCGCTTCTGGCCGGGTACAACCTGAATCAAGTTAAAGGATTGAATCTAGATCAAATGCAATACAGGAAATCATGACATGAAACTGATCAGCAATTGTTGTGTCATGTTGTGTCTACCAAGCACTTGACAGCAGAGGCGAAACGCTCTTCCGACATGAGTTTCGCGCGAGATGAGATCTGCCATTCGTTCTGTTTGACAGTTGATTGGACTTTAAAATTGAAATCCATCCGCGCAAATTTCAAGCGTCACTTTTCTTGTCATCTAGATCTGGGAAGGAAATGAGCGCCGTGATTGGAATGCTGCAGTACCTGAGATTTTTTACCGTCCTGAAACGGGTTCATTCCAAGCATTGCCCATCTTGTCCATTTTTATGCATTCTTATCCATCGCTGTCAGCAAGATAGACATATCAAAAATGTACATGTTCAAACATGCACATTGATGCACATTGCACATGTAAAAATGACTTTGAAATTGACCTAAAAACAACTCTCATGGGGCGTCTTTCGACAGTTTGCGTCACCAGGTTCCACCATGTTTTTCGCCCTGTCTTTGTTGCGGGTGTCATCTGCCGTTAAACCAGGTGGTTTGGACCGCACAGCCTGCCAGGAGTCACCCGTTTCAAAAAAAATAGGCACGGTTGATGTGGGGGTGTTCTGTTAACTGGTTCGTTGGGGATTATTAAAACCCTTATGTTCTTTGATTCATGTTGCTGCGGTGTATGACACATGTCAATGTCCCAAGCATGCATGACGCAGCTGCATACTTTTTGCCATTGGGGATCGGATCGCTCTGCCACTTCGGCGCGCTCTGGCCTTGGGTAGGCCAGAGCGAAAATAGAAACGTACAAGATTCCAAAGTCCAACGTCAATGCCCAGCAAAGTCACATGTCAAGATATGGAAGCCGGCCATGTTGAAGGAGATACTGTTGGATGGCCCGGCAACTTTGGAGCAGTTTGATGGAGGCCAGGAAGTCTAAGTGGGCCTTCAACTGGCGTACCTGAGTACGCATATTGTTGATCAACGGTGTGGCTTGATGAAGGCCTTGATCCTCAAAGTAATCGGAGAGGTCTATCAAATGCTCATCGATCTGATTGAGCTGCTGGGCATAGTACTGGACAATGACGAACTGGACGGAGAAACTTTGGAGCGTTTGATTAGCTGCTTCCATGGGTGGGAGAGGTTCGGGACGAAAATTTTGATATGAAAATTGATTTCATTTTGAATTGAAAGTGAACTTCCAAATTAACTTTGAGTTGGTGAAATTGACAACATGCATTTATGACAAGTGATTTGTCTGTAAATGACATGCCAACTCATGAAGTTCACGTTTCGGCACTTGCCGATGATAGTCACACTTGTGACTTAGAACCAAAATGCAACCATGAAATACGTATCAACATGTTTGCATGCACAACAGGGAAACTCACCGCAGCACTCACTGAATGTTCGTGTGACATGAATCCTTCACATAAAAATCTATCATGACTTCATCATGAGAGAATTCTTATGTTCTTTGATTCATGTTGCTGCGGTGTATGACACATGTCAATGTCCCAAGCATGCATGACGCAGCTGCATACTTTTTGCCATTGGGGATCGGATCGCTCTGCCACTTCGGCGCGCTCTCACCCCATGCTGGTGGCCGTATGGTTCCACAGCTTACTGACATCGACCCTCGTCCTTTCATGTCCAGCCCATCGAGCCACCTGGCTTCGAGACAACTCATCCGCTGGATTAGACTGGCTCGGCACACGCTCTAACCAGATGTGACATGAATGGGTCTCCTCGAGAAGAAAATTTTTTCTAAGAACTTTGCTGCTAGGATCATTCCCAGACCAGGTTTTAAGGAAACTGCCTCTGACAGCTTCACTGTCGGTGAAGGCTACTATGCGACGTCCTTCGTGGCATGGGCACCACATAGAGGCTGCTATCAGCAAAGCCAACATCTCCAACTCCTGGATCATGGTCTGTTGATCCGTGCTCATGGCAGCAAGAATGAAAGATTTACTTATTTCTTCACTAAAGAAACCCAAAACTGTCCCATCACTAGCATAAGCTGTGCCCCCTACTCCAGAGTAATTATCAGGGTCGAACGACGCATCAACATAGATGTGTATGTGATCGGACATTGGCCCCCTGATGGTGCGTGGCAAGTTTGCCATCAGCTGGCACTTAAGGCTGTTCAAGGCTGCAACAGTGTCGTTGCACAGCTGGAGCCGATTACTGGCTATGTGCTTGGACAAAACCCTGAGGCTGTTTCGGGCGCTTCTCCCGAAGAGTTGGCCACTGGCAAATTGCAATCGGCCTCTCAACCTTTCACCATCACACTTCTTCAACTTGCCTGCATCCAGGATGGAGTCCAGTTGATCGCACAGTTCTTGAACCCTCTCGGAAGTGTTGTTTACGGTTGCCAAGCCCTCCCCGGACATCTTGAGATCGAATTCCACCCCAAGCACTTTACAGGCAGTGTTGTAATCGATCAATTTGTCCGCGGATAATTTCCAACCCAAAAGATTAAACATCGTAAGGACGACCAAGTCTGTATGTTTGGCACTGGCCGCATCAGTTACAGAAAAGAAGTCGTCAAAATAAGATGTCCACATCAATTTGAGAAGTTGGTGCCCCAGCCTCCATATGCCGTGAGCCACACGCAGGAATGCCGTGACGGACGCCACAGATCCAAAGGGAAGTACTTTCTGCTGAAACACCTCAGCCTTGCTGGTGTCCGGGCAAAACACCACAAGGTAAGCGTCCTGAGAAAAAGCCTGATCACTAAGGGGTATTCGTTTGTAAGCGTCAGCCAGGTCCCAAGTCTTTGCAACCAAATTGGGTCGCTGCGACCTGTCCTCAGCGTGCCTGCAAACACAAGCTATCATGGAGGCTACATGATCTACGGTATGCACCGTTGCTGTTTCGGTCTGTGACACGCTTGAGTTTACGAAGGAGGCTTTGTAGTCATCTATGGGTCTTGTCTTGTTCTTTTGGAACACCCCAAACCTGCGGGTGAGGGTTGATCCTGCGGGCAACGTCCCAGGGTCGATAGGCCCCTCAAGAAAACCCTTTGACACTTCCTTCATGGTCGCTGCATAGAGTTGTGCATCAATTTCAGCGTCACCTGAAGACTTAACCATTTGCAGCATGCCTTCACGGCTCAGGTCTGCTATCCTTCTAAGGTCTCCACAAGACATAGTCGCTGGGCGAACTTTCCTTGAGAATACATTGGATTCCGGAAGACTCCCAGTGAGGTCAAACCCCTCAGCGAGCTGTTCCACCAGATCAACATCTCCATGCCCAGCATCGCTCAGGAGATGCTTGAACAGAGCAAGGTTTTTGCTTCCCAGGATGTCTTTTCTTCTATCCGACATTTTCTCCTTGATCAAGGACTCTTCCGTGTTTATTTCCAAAGATTGAACCGCTTGCAAAACACATAGCACCGTGAAAACGCAACGTTTAAAAATTTTGTGTCTCCAAAAATTAAAATCCGCTCGACGCACAAAAACGAGTTGGAAATAATCGACAGCTGAAGCATCCGGGCAAAGGCTTCCTTTTTTCCAACACAAATGCAATTGGGGTCAGTCCTTTCACGCCCCGCCATAGGGCTTGGGGCGTGGCCATAAAAAAATTGGATTGTTGCAAAAGGGTCGGGAAAAAGAAGGGTGGGAATTTGCAACCAAACAGGAAACAAACAGGGAGTTTCCCACCCACCACACCCTTAAGCCAAGATATTGCCATGCAGAAAACATCAGGATGTTTGTCACCAACAATATTGGAAGATTTGTTTCAGTTTGGAAACACATTTGTATAAAAAATTAAACGTCTCGGTTTTCTTCAAAAATGGAGTACGTGTTTTTACAGCTAACACTTTGCCACGCAAAGTGTTTTCAAAAATTGGAAATAAGGTTTTCATCCCTGCGGGAGTTAAAAACTTATTTCCAAAGATTGAACCGCTTGCAAAACACATAGCACCGTGAAAACGCAACGTTTAAAAATTTTGTCTCCAAAAATTAAAATCCGCTCGACGCACAAAAACGAGTTGGAAATAATCGACAGCTGAAGCATCCGGGCAAAGGCTTCCTTTTTTCCAACACAAATGCAATTGGGGTCAGTCCTTTCACGCCCCGCCATAGCCCCACTTCAGCTACGGCGTGAACTTGTGAATCCACTGACAAGTGACCATGGAATTTCAAACCTGGTACACCCAAGAGCATTGATCAACTCTAAGGCTTGACGGCTATGACCGTCACTCAAGTTGCTGTGTGTTGGAACTCTGTTGAACTAAGTTTTCAACTAAAGTCCGGCTTCAGCTTTGCAGAAGTTCCCGATTATGGCATTAGCCAAAAGGGGCCGCTCCCGCACCTCTGATTAGCCCTGTTTTTTGCTGCCTCATTGTCTATGTAAAAACAACTTGACACGACTGCAGCACTTCTTACCAGAACATCATAACTACCAAAGATAGCTCTACTTCATAAATTGGGTGTTTGGCCTCACTGAAAAATTGAGCTCGAAGGTCTTCTTGAAATTCGACACCAAAGTACCCGAACGCATAACCCGCAGGTCCAATCAACACTGCACCCATAGAAGTTTTGTTTTCGCAAGCACCATCTGTGAAGCAAACCCATGTCGGAAAAAGCTTTCGAGAAAACCACAATAGTCTTACCAGTTCACACGCAGTCCAATCAAAGTTCCAAGGTCGCAACCAGCGCATACGACATGTCCAGCGTATGCTTAACTCCACTGACAAACTCGCTTAAACTGGCAACCAAAAATATGCGTTTGCAAACAGCAAACAAGGCTCTCATACTAAAGCAACCTCCCTGTCAAGTGCTTCACACCTTTGGCCGTGAAGCTCTGTTCTCTGAGCATCTCTTCGATTGAGTTTACCAATTCGTTCTTCCGACTTTCAGACGCACCAGGGAAACGATCCCACATTAAATTTCCGAGAGATCAAAGATCACACCCATGGACTCAAATATTCGATCTAAAATGGTCGCTTTGCGACCCCCTTCGGCGTAGAAGATCCCCAACAACCCAAACAAGCACTCCGCTCTCCATGCCGCATTGCTAGCACAATCCTCACTGCTAATCATGTGTAGCCATCATAAAAGCTCGTCCAAGCTAGTCGTAGTCCCACCGCTCCAGGAACCAAAGGAACATGGAAACCCTCAGATGCCAGA